ATGCTCTTAGATGAGATCACATGCTAAAGAAAAGAGAAAGGTTGCAGCCGTACAAAAGTGAACCTTTCTTTTATTTGCTTCCTTCATTTTTTTTTAAGCACTTCCTTTTGGTCTGCTAAATGAACAATTTTAGGGGTTTTGTTATATCTGTTCAATAAGTGGGAAAAAAACAAACAAACTGTTGATCCTGCCAAAAATCCAGTGAGAGCTGATCACTTCTTGTAGTGAGCTGGCGAGAAATACACAAAGCACCAGCGGCGTCACCATGGGGAGTGCGGCCCGCACCCAGGTGCCACCATTGGAGGGGTGACACCAAAATGACTGACAGTTATTTTGGGGTCACCCAGTATAAAAAGTCAGGCAGTCTGTCATAGACAGAGAGCCCGACAGCGTCAGGAGAGAGGAGGGGACCCGGCGGCATACCTTATCCCGCCGGGTGTACGTCCTCTCCCTGCCGGCGTCCATCACCAAGATGGCCGCCGGCAGGCGTCAATAAGATGACCAGGCATGCGCGATGATATCACGGTGGGGTGACACCCGGTCTTCGGACGCCCCTGCAAAGCACGCCAAGATTTCACTGAGAACACACTTGGCTCTTGTATTTGGATAACATTTGCATGTCCCGGAGTTCAGACTTAAAGGACCTGTTCGCTCTTGTCCGCTTTGCTGCAGGGGGGTAACGCGTTCATTTCATTCTTTACTATTTGCATTCTTTCCTATGTGGCTGGTTCATAACTATGTGCTGTCGTTTGGTGGGTTTCTAAAGGGAATCTCCAGGGGCCCTTTTACACCTACGCATGTCCATTACCAAATGTGCATGGATGTGGAGGTGCCCTGATGGCGTCAGAACGTTGGCACTAAAGGGGAAACAAAAAGGAGGAAGAAACGCGACGACCTAGCGCAGATAAAAGATGGCGGAGCGGACGGCGTGAGATGATTGTACTCGCATGTAATCGGATGGATCTGAGCTTTGGGAGTCAGGGGTCTCTTTTGAGGTGGCGCGATGCTCCACATCAGAAGTCCTCACCTGAAGTTCGGCATATCAAGCACTCATTGCTCTCCACATCACCTGTATGGACCGTCGTCGCTGAGCCCGCAACCTCATTTACTTAATGGTGAGTCTATGGATTTTATACCAGTCCGCTGTGCACATCAGATCACTCGCAGTGCTTATATTTCATCCACTGTTGATCTCCACGTCACCGTATCGGAAGTCCTCATCTGAAGTTCGACATATCAAGCATCGCACCACCTCAAAAGAGACCCCCCAACTCCCAAAGCTCAGATCCACCTGATTACATGTGAGTACAATCATCTCGCACATTCTTCACCCCTCCGCTCCACCATCTTTTATCTGCGCTAGGTCGTCACGCTTCTTCCTCCTTTTTGTTTCCTCTTTAGTACAAATGTCAGACACCCCGGTCCGCACACACCAGGAGCAGCATGCCAGCATTGAAACCAATCCAACCCCCCCTCCCCCTGTAAAGGTGCCCATACACCTGCCGATTATCGTACGGGATCCAGCCATCCTACGATAATCGGCAGGTGTATGGGCAGCGTGCGACCTCTTCTACGTTAAGGTCGCACGACGTTCGTCTTCCGAGCACGCTTGATTTTCGGCGTGTTAGTGGCGTGCTCGGGAGACGAATGCCGCACGGACCGGTGTGCGCAAGTGCACACTGCCCGCTCGGCACTGCAATCATCGCAAGTACGATCTGCCTGCCCAAGATGGGCAGATCGTACGAAAGTCTTGCGATGGTTGTAAGGTGCATGGCCAGCTTAAGAGCGCTACCTAGCATGACCCGTCCTTCACAACTTTATATACACCAAAACGTTAGCAGGTTATTAACAGCAGTTTGGTGAAATTTAGGATCTGACCTGAATTGGGCCAAGTGAAGTGGATAAGGTTGAGGTGGTCCAAATTCATTCCGGCTCTCCCTCCCCACTGCAGAGAATTGTATCTTTATAAATGGATTAAATTGTATCTTTATAAATGAACTAAAATGTATCTTTAATCCATTTATAAAGATACATTTGAGTCATTTGATAAAGTGGGATCTGACATGAACTAGGCCCGGGGAAGGTAAGGACTCATTCACACTGTAATCGGCCGGCACGTACAGCTCTGTGCTGCGTGCAGGGCTGTACCGAGCAGCTCCCGGGAAGGACAGGTGCTGCCTGTGATTAGTACGCAGCCCCCGTCCTTCTCTATGGGACTACGCGGCTGTATGCCCCCCTACGCTCACCCGCTCCCTGGACGTCCGTGCGGGTGAGCATACTCCTACGCTGACAGGATGGATCCTGACTGCGTCCGAGCCAAGAAACACGCACCCCTACGGACCTGCACTTTAGGTGAGCGTAGGGCGGCATACAGCTGCGTAGTCCCATAGAGAAGAACGGGGGCTGCGTACTAATCACATGCAGCACCTGTCCTTCCCGATACAGCCCTTCACGGAGCTGTACGAGCGGGCCGGTTCCAGTGGGAATGAGGCCTAAAGGATGAGGTGCTCTTAACGCATTCCGTCTCTCTCTCTCCCTCATCACTGCAGATAAATTGTATCTTTTATAAATGAAATCATTTGTATATGAAAAAGCGTATATGAGGACTGTTTTATTTTGAAAGCACAGAGGCCTATTGATAAAAAAAGTTTAGTGACCCATGTCAGATCCTGCATCCCACTGCTACAGGTAAGCATTTGTTAGTGCAGGAGCAGTGCTGGGAAATGATGCGCTGACCCCGGCGCAGTGTACATGTTTCATTCTGTGGTGATATGGACGATGACATTTTCATTTGTACTCCAGTGAAATTGACAGCCATTCGATGGGGGCGGGGTTTCTGGGTGCTGATGAAAAGCCGTGCGAGGGGTCAGGGCGTGAATTGCTCCAGATACGATTTCCAGGCCAGAGGAATGTTCCGCGTTCTCTCTCTGACATTTGCACAGCACTAAATACTGTTTATTCAGCAATTAGGATGAACTGTAACATTTCTGCTCCAATCCTAAGTAAATATTTTACTGCCGCCGAACCCGACACCTCCCGCTGACTCCCCAGGTTGATGATATTTCAGGAATAGTGGCGTGGTTCGAATAAACCGGCGTCACCGCTTGTTAAATAGGCAGAACAAGGAGCACCGGTCCTGTGTATAGAGCAGTGACGTAGGCCGTAGACTAGGAGTACCAAGAAAGTCCAAAACCCTGTAGTCGGGGAAGGTCTCCATGTAGGGTGGTGGAGGTGGGAACGGAGCCACATGCAGACAGTCCCAGGACCAGGTAAAACAGCTGACATCATAACGTGGCTAGCCCGTCCAATTGTTTTGTTCCTTTCCGAACAGTCATTTTGGGGTGTTGCATAGGGTCAGGGTCACTTGATCATCATCCAATCTGAGACCATCTTCTATGGCTTTGGGCACCACAACTCACACCAACAATAAGAATTCCTTTGACTAGAATCAGCGCATCATTGGTTGAAAGTTTTAGGGTTCGCCTAATGGAAACACATCCAAATAATAGGCCTATCCATTGGACGTATTTGTAGTAGGTTGTGGATACATAGGGGGGATGGGAGGCAAATAACTATCTAGGTTGGGCAAACACTTTTTTGTTTCTCAAAATAGAGGGGTACAATTACTCAAGACAGGAGGTGCTGGAACCCCATGAGGCCAGGTGTGTGTGTGTTGTACTGTATATTCTACATCATCTGAGATAGTGTCACGTAATACCCACCAAGAGCTTCAGTGGTTCTTGCCGTGGGACATAAGGTCTCCGATTTATCCCAACTGGAAAGACTCTCTAGGCCAGTTGTTCTCAACCTGTGTAACCTCACGACCCACATTTGTCCTTAGTCATCAGTCGCGTCCCAAGTTGAACTGCAATGGAACGCACAGCATTTTGGTAACGCACGTTCTGGTGCAGCCGTACGAACTGTGGGTGGGAGGTGCGTTTGGAGTACCATTCAAATGAATGGCAACACAACACATGTCCCACACCAGAATGCATGGTAGTGTGATTGTGTGGTACAGTTTGACGGACTGTTCTAGTGTGAACGGGCCCTCAAAAACACAGACAGACACTTTTTTTTGTTTTTTTGTAAAGATCCACCCAGTCTCCCTACCTTTCTAGAACTGGAATGGATCCTCAATCTGGGGTTCAGTGTGGGCTGCTGTGCTGTGACGGAGCTCCATCCATATGTGCATTGCTTATACAGCTCCTTTGTGTGCCCTGTAGAGGTGGCGGGAGCCAAAATGTGATGTCACTCGGGTCCAGGCACCTCTATAGGACACGTGAGGGTTCTGTAAGCAATGCACATATGGATGGAGCTCCCTCGCGGTCATTTCTCCAGCCTGTCCCACCTAAAGTTGACACTCGGCGCTGGGCAGCATATTTTGAATGGCTGCTTGGCGCCAGAACTGACAGTACTGTGCTAGGGGAAGGCAAAGGAGCCTCTCACCTAGAAAAGTGGAAGGCACGTGGCGACCCAGTGAACATGGGGTTGCGACCCACTTTTGGATCAGGGCCCACCAGTTGAGAAACAAGGCTCTACAAAGGAAGGGGGAATTGTTTTTTTCCTCCTCTGGGACTGCTTGAGTTTAAGAAACTGACCCACTTCTGTCCTTCAGTAGCACAGTATCGGATTGGAGCACTTGTATGATCATCGTGACTTTCCAGCTTTATGCTGACCACCCTCGTGGCAAGTTTTGGTCAAATTCAACCAATTTTCTCTCATTTTCAACCAAGAAGATCAAGATAGCCCACCACCAGGACTTTAGATCATTTATAGTGTTGAGAGAAACTGTTGCCGCATGTGCCAGCATCAGTTACTACTAGCTCCTCCTTGGCTGGCTGGGAATATTAGGTGTAGGAGTTCCACAGGAACTGGTAGTTTACTACGTGCCCACATCCATTCAATAACTCGCTGGGATGGTTATTGCATGGGTGTCTGTTGTGTTGCCGGCCTTCCCTGGTGCTACATGTTCATAATCTGTATTTTCTCTCTTTCTCCAGGTCCCGTCTCTCCCCTCCCTCTGGTGTAGAGCCATGGCACGACGCTCCCAGAGTTCCTCCCAAGGGGACAACCCTCTGGACCCCAACTACCTCCCACCACACTACAAGGAGTATTATCGTATCGCCATTGATGTCTTGACCGAAGAAGGTCCTACGGGCTATGAGCGCTTCCTCACTGACGAGGGGGCTCCTGACTTTCTATGTCCGTCAGAAGTTGACCACATCTCCAAAAACCTTCTGAGACCCCCGGAGCCCACCCAAGAAAGCATGTACACAGACTCTGTCTACAACCCGCAGGATGATGATGGTTCCTCAGGGACTTACTGGCCCATGCACTCCGACACAGCCGCCCCAGAGCTGGATCTTGGCTGGCCAACTATCTTTGGCTTTCAGGGGACGGAGGTGACCACACTAATACACCCGCCACCTGCTGAAAGCCCCACCATCAAAGAGGAGGTGCGCAGGATGATCCGCTCTGCCCAGCAGGTAGGAAACGCCGTAAAAATGTAATGCTTTTATAACAATCACTTTGTGTCATGTGACAGTACTTTCGGCATGTGTGTAAGATGGACTACAAGAAATCTCTGGAGTATAAACCATCTCTCCTATAAAGACATTCTACATCACTTCGGGTCTTGTCTTTGCACTAGACTCTAGAAATTGCAAAGGTGGTTCAATGTGGCCCTGATGGTATCTAGGATCTGGTGATCCAGGGCTGTGCAGTCCTTGGGTTGGGCGATGGATTCTAAAATACAATCTTAGGAGGAGAACGATTAAAGTGAGAAAGGAGAAGCCCCCGCCCACCTCCAGTATGTGCGGACTGAACTACCCCTCAATGGAACCTGAGGGTGATGAATCAACGAGAGGAGAACGTGCAGACGATGGCGCTCTCATCGGGTTATATAACTGCATTTCTGAGTGATGTAGGTTGACGCTTCTACCATCAGGAGCTCTTTCCCAAAGCAGAGCGCCCTGCGGATCACTAAACATGTTCTAATTGTGCAATCAAAGTTTGTATCATGCTCAGTCTGCAGCTCCTAGAGCTGTGGTTCTCAACCTGTGTAATCTCAGGACCCACATTTGTCCTCGGTCATTAAGTCGGGACCCAAGTCGTGCTGCACGGAATGCACGGATTTAGGGTACCGCACGTTTCAGTGCGGGTGTACGAGCTGTGGGTGGGAGGGGCATTTGGGGTAGCATTCAAATAGATGGCAACCCAACACACCGCCCACACCGGAATGCACGGTAGGTGCGATTTCACGGTACTATGCGACTAAAGCACTGTATTAGTGTGAAAAACACTGACATACAGACACAATCTGCTGAACTGTGATGGAGCTCCATCCATATGTGTATTGCATATACAGCTCCCTTGCGCGCAATGAAGAGGTGGCGGGAGACAAAAATGTCACTCCGGTCCAGGCACCTCTATAGGACACTTGAGTGAGCTGTAAGCAATGCACGTATGGATGGAGCTCCCTCGCGGCCATATCCCCATTCCACCCCACCTCAAGCTGACACTCGGCACCAGGCAACATATTTTGAATGGTTGCTTGACGTGAGAACTGACAGTCCTACAAGGAGGCAGAAAAGCCTCACACCTAAAAAAGTGGAAGGCTTGCGGCGACCCACTGAACACGACCCACCGGTTGAGAACCAAGGTCCTAGATGTTCTCTTAGATGTTCTCCTAGATGTTCTCCTAGATGTTCTCCTAGATGTTCTCTTAGATGTTCTCTTAGATGTTCTCTTAGATGTTCTCTCAGATGTTCTCTCAGATGTTCTCTTAGATGTACTCCTAGATGTTCTCTTAGATGTTCTCTTAGAGGTTCTCTTAGATGTTTCTTAGGTGTTCTCTTAGAGGTTCTCTTAGAGGTTCTCTTAGAGGTTCTCTTAGAGGTTCTCTTAGAGGTTCTCTTAGATGTACTCTTAGAGGTTCTCTTAGAGGTTCTCTTAGAGGTTCTCTTTGATGTTCTCTTAGATGTTCTCTTAGATGTTCTCTCAGATGTACTCCTAGATGTTCTCTTAGATGTTCTCTTAGATGTTCTCTTAGAGGTTCTCTTAGATGTTTCTTAGGTGTTCTCTTAGAGGTTCTCTTAGAGGTTCTCTTAGAGGTTCTCTTAGAGGTTCTCTTAGATGTTTCTTAGATGTTCTCTTAGAGGTTATCTTAGATGTACTCTTAGAGGTTCTCTTAGAGGTTCTCTTAGAGGTTCTCTTTGATGTTCTCTTAGATGTTCTCTTAGATGTTCTCTTAGAGGTTTTCTTAGAGGTTTTCTTAGAGGTTTTCTTAGAGGTTTTCTTAGAGGTTTTCTTAGAGGTTCTCTTAGAGGTTCTCTTAGGAACAATGAGAGGACCTGTTGGTGGGTTTGACTTACGTATATATCCTCATGCCAGCTAGGTTTGGGAATTCTACCTTGAGCCTCTACTTCCTGGAGCACCTCTGCATCTTGTCCTTCTGGGGTAATCCTCAACAGCCAGGATTCCTCAACATTGGACCCCGGAGGCTTTTCCTTTCCCACCGCCAATGTAGATTTTGACACTCTATAATGAGGACCGATGTCTTTATGGGGAAAGGGATATTCTCTAGTTTAATGTTGCAGCCCGTCCAGGTAACAACGTTCTGATCCTACAAACTTTGAGGAGTCAGATATCGGGAGAATTTTATGCTTCTCTGGGAGCAATAAATTTGGGCTCATGGTCCGGCCTCGTGGTCTTCACTTTTAATGCCCAACTGGAATTCAAGTTTAAATCCACCAAATATGTTGCAGGTGCATCAACACAAACCATTTTTAATGTCTTCCATGTTGTTTTCTTTCTAAAGCAGTCACAGCCGGAGTAGAAAATCTGTCCCCGGCCAGCATGCTGTAGAGAAGGACCCTTGTGTGGAAGCAGTGGTCTCTCTCCAAAGGTCTGACGTGCCTCGTGCCGAGTCAGAGAGGACAGGAAAAAAATATTGTATACATCTTTGACTTGTGCAATTAGGGTTTAATTTGCTGATCTGCAGAACATTGCTCCACCCTATCTTCCTCCTGACAGTATCATATTGATAGATTCTGCAGATTATTCCATCAGTAACATTTCTAGAGGCCTGCAGAACATTGCTCCATCCCATCTCCCTCCTGACCTATACATATTGATATATTCTGCAAATGTATTCAATCGCTGACTTGTTCCTGAGGTCTGCAGAACATTGCTCCATCCCATCTCCCTCATGACAGATGCATATTGATATATTCTGTAGAATATTCCATAGATGACCTCTCTAGAGATCTGCAGAACATTGCTCCATCCCATCTCCTTCCTGACAGATTCATATTGATATATTCTGTAGAATATTCCATAGATGACCTCTCTAGAGATCTGCAGAACATTGCTCCATCCCATCTCCTTCCTGACAGATTCATATTGATATATTCTGTAGAATATTCCATAGATGACCTCTCTAGAGATCTGCAGAACATTGCTCCATCCCATCTCCTTCCTGACAGATTCATATTGATATATTCTGTAGAATATTCCATAGATGACCTCTCTAGAGATCTGCAGAACATTGCTCCATCCCATCTCCTTCCTGACAGATTCATATTGATATATTCTGTAGAATATTCCATAGATGACCTCTCTAGAGATCTGCAGAACATTGCTCCATCCCATCTCCCTCCTGACCATTACATATTGATATATTCTGCAGATTTATTCAATCGCTGACTGCTCCTGAGGTCTGCAGAACATTGCTCCATCTCGTCTCCCATACATATCTGTATATTGTGCAGATTTCTCCATGGCTGACCTTTCTAGAGATCTGCACAACATCTCCCTCCTGGCAGATACATATTGATATATTCTGCAGACTATTCCATCAATAACCTCCTGAGATCTGCAGATTTGCCCTTGAATAGTTCTGACGTGTCTTTGGTCCCCTGGAAGCATTTAGGGCCGGTAGCAGACGTTCATTGTTTGTAACTGGGGTCCTCCAGGCCAGCTCCATTGACCACAACTGGAGTTAGCCCCAAAAGTTGGGCGCCAGCTGTAACTTATAAGAAGCATTGGCGACCCAGCTCCTGGGATTTGTCCGGCCCGGTGATGTCAATGATCTTGATGTTGTTTCCCGGCCCCCTGACTGACATTTGGTGTTAATCTTCCTCTGCAGGTCATTGCCATCGTCATGGACATTTTCACTGATGTGGACATCCTCTCCGACCTGCTCGACGCAGCTGCCCGGCGTGTCCCCGTCTACATCATCCTGGACCACATGAATTCCGAGCACTTCCTGGACATGGCCGCCAAGTGTCGGGTCAACCTGAATTTGGTGGAGGTGAGCCTTTCCCCCCTTCATACGCTGTGACCTGCCGCTTTACAGACCAGGCCTGTGTGTGGGCTCATTGGACGGTGATACCCCGCTCCCCTCGTCACATGCATCCACCGCATCCGATGCAATTTTGAATGGAGTGGGGAAGGGTTAGAACCTCTGTCAGGCTTTTGTTCCTGCCTGAGTTCTGATTCTGGGTATTGTTGGTCACGGCAGTCATTGGAACAGGAAGTTAGAATTGTGTCCAGTAACTACAAATCCGACCCAATCCTCGGATGTAGATCCCCAGTGTATGGCTGGCTCTATTCAGTGCACGCCGGCGGGAAAGGTCCATTGACATAAGTGCTGCAAGACTCTTCAAGGTTGATGGCCGTGGATGTCTATATTCATTAGGGATGCACTGACACCGGTTTTTCGGTACCGAGTACCGATATTTATTTTTTCCGGTACTTGCCGATACCGAATACCGATACCAGAAGTCCCATTACGGAAGCCGGGCGGCGTGTAATGACTCGCCGCAATGCTTCCTGATTAGTTGGGAAGCCGGCTCCGTGCTCCCTCGTCACCAGGTTGAAGAGGAAGCATGGAGCCGGCTTTCTGGCCAGTCAGGAAGCCGGGCGGCGAGTCATTACACGGGATTGGCCAACATTGGCCGGGAAGCCGGCTCCATGCTCCTTCGTCACAGCTGTTGACGAAGGAGCATGGAGCCGGCTTCCCAACTAAGTTCCGGTATCGGGGTAAGTATCGGGTACGAGCACTCGCCCGAATACTCGGTATCGGCACCGATACTAGTATCGGTATCGGTGCATCCCTAGTATTCATTGCAGTTGGCTCTCTTCATTCCTCATGCACGGAGTCTTCTCTGGTTGATTGATAGGGGCGGCTGACACGTTGTATATCTTCCCGTCACCTCTGACTTTCTGTGCACCAGAACAGCACGGCCATCAGATGCTAGAAAACGATCCCCCCTCCCCCCATCCGGGGGTCCCGACCACCGAAACCCTTAAGTGCAGCGCGCTTTTTTAACTGCAGCTATTTACAGCCGTGCCTATAAACGGCGCAGACTTCCATGCATTCCTCCGACCGCCTTCCCTGGAAGAAAGCAGCACCAGATGCCCCCAGAAAGAAGCTATGCAAGAAGAGTGA